TAAGAGTTTTTCTTTTGTCTTTATTCATATTCTTTTTTCCAGATATATTTTTAGCTGTATCAAAAGATATATATATATATATATATATATATATATATATATATATATATATATACACACACACACACACACACACACATATATATATATATATATATATATATATATATATATATATGTATGAAAATTGAAGTTAACACTTAGAGGCAACAGGCTGTTTCATTCTAGACGCAATCGTCAAGCCTCCCTTATATTTACACAGGCTCTATCTCTGATATTGAACAATTTATCCCATAAATATAGCACACCTTAAGAGTATATATATATATATATATATATATATATATATATATATATATATGCATACAATGATGGCATCCCAAATTTCCAGGAACTGGTTCTATAAAGGCAAGTAATCTTTAGAAACCTATCCTGCTTATTCTATTTTCAATTTGATCTTTTCAGAAATTTTGTTCTCGTCATTTTTCTGTTCAGAAGAATGATGCTTATGGCCCCAGCTATGGGCAAATCAACAGTATATTTTTATAGTAAAAGGACAAAAGAAAAAACGTATAAAAATACATTTTTATGATAAAATTACGAGAATACATTAAAAAAATACCGACAATACATTTTATGATCCACAAACTATATATCTAAAAATCATGTATACTCTGAAAGGATAAAATTATATAAAAAATAATTGTTAGTTGAAGGTATAACATAACACAGCTGATGGCACTAAAGTCAAAAGACTCTAGTTTCATCAACTGTTTTATGAGTTCTTAACCACATTTGAACATGACTGCTGCAGTCCCAAATCCAATGGAAAACCTATCAAGTTTATGACTAGAAGATTTGCCATATTTTTAACGTCAAGCTTATTTCTTTTGTCAGGTAAATTATGTTATTCACGAAAAACCCTCTTTCAACGTCCACAGAAATAAGGACAGTTTTAGCCTAACTGCAACCTGTTCCAGCTAAACAGTCGAACTCTCTGCCTTCGAGCAGAGAGGAACCCGGACGAGGCTCCACCGAAGGGCAGAGTCTCGTTCGGGGAGATAGACTGCCCCTGAACCCGTTTATACGGGTTCGAAAGGGAATATTTTTGGCCGAGTCTACGGGCTCGGTGAACCCACGTTAAACCGGCCTTGTGACACATGCAACCCTAGTGGGGGGAAGCTAAATATAATAGTTTTAGATCTTTGGGTAGATTTGGGTATAACATGTTTATGGTAATTTCTCGTTACGTTTTCAAAGTAATCGCATAAATTATTATTTTTGTGTGTCAGTTAGAGACTCATTAGGCACGATGATTTTGTTTAACGACATATCAACATCTCTATGGGTCATTTAATGCCGAAATCTAAACATTTCGAACGCAACTGTATACCTTCAACTACATATATTTTGTACATAATTTGATACATTCGGGGTAAACATGTTTTTTTTTTTTTTAATATTGCACGTTTCCTCAGAATTGCAAGATTATTTGTCCACAAGATACGAAAAGAGTTAGAAAACTCTGACAGTTTCCCAATGTCGGTATCAAAACGTAAAAGACATTCTGCACGTTTTGATAAAGTAAGAACATCCGAATTTATTCAGGAAGTCAAGCAGACAATTGATGAGAACCGAGATCAATCAATGAGGTCAATTGTCAAAATGCTGACAAAAACAATCAGAAAGAGTGTACATGAAGACATTCGATAAAAGTCCTACGTGATGAAGAGGGGTCAATTTATGACTGAAAAAAAAAAACCCCAAAAAACCAAAAGAAAACTGCATAAACAGATCCAAAAAGCCTTTAAACAAACTTAAAATTTCTTCAGAAGCTGGTGTGACTTGATCTTTCTCAGATGAGAAAAATTTTGATCAAAATCAAAAATTTCACAGAAGAAATGACAGATAGCATTGTTCAGATCCTTCTGAAGTGCCAAGAGTGATGCGCACAAAATTTCCTTCTAGTGCTATGGTATTGGGTGTTGTTAGCAATGAAGGACTTGTTATGCCACCACACTTTTTTCCACAGGGTCTGAGAGTAAATGCTGCTGCTTGCATTGAGGTTCTAAAAAGTTTTCAAGCCCTGGATTGACAACATATGCAACGACAGGCCTTACATATTCCAGCAAGACTCGGCTCCATCCCACAAGGCGCTACGAACACAAGAATGGATGGCTGACCATTTGTACGACCACATCACACCCAACATTTGGCCTCCTAACTCTCCAGATCTCAATCCACTAGACTACTATGTGTGGAGCGTTGTTGAGAAGGAGGTTAATAAAGAGCCTCATAACACCAAAGACTCTCTTAAAGCTACAATAGATCGAGCAATGTCTGATATAAATAAGAACCAATTAATCAGAGCTTGCAGCCGATTTCGACCTCGTGTACGGGCAGTTATGGATGCTAGTGGTGGTTTTATTGAATAAAATTAAATATTAGCTAAATTTCATGTTTACTTGTTTGTAATCAAATCTAATTATATTCATTTGTTCATCAAGTTTTTTTTTTTTTTTTACTAATCCATAAAATCTGTCCTCATATACGAGCCGTACTCTGTAGATTGAAAAATATAGATATACACATAACATTTCAACAGCTTCTGCTTGTCGCATCCAAATTGCAAGCATCACTTGCGCTATGGAACCATTTAGTAAAACTTATGAATTATGTATTTCCGAGACCGAATGTGGGTAATTCAAAAAGCGGAAAGCGAAGTAGCAGAAAATGGAGATCAGACTCTAACGAAAAACGAAACGACGGAAAAAATGGGTGATAATGTCGGTCTGATTAAATACAATTCTTAAAATGAATGTATTTTGATTTGTAAAGTCGTTACGTAAATGAAGGCCCTGAGGGCAACTTTAATGTGTCTGTTTTAATTCAAAATGAAAAGAAAGAAGGCTTTATAGATTAACAAAATATTTTAGACGAACAATGGAAGAAGGGAATAAAGGCAAAAAAAAACGGATGGTGGAATGGTGCGGGAATGTTTTGATGGAAATGGTGCCATATTTTCTTCAAAAAGGTTCGGCCTTCTATCATTGCCTTGATTGAGACAATGGGAATAGTCAGGGGGATTAAATTTAAGAACTTCTTTATTTTATTTTCTTTCTTCATTTTCTTATTCTTTTCCCACGTTCTTCTTTTTTTCTCTTTCTTCCTTGCAATCATCATCATCATCGTCTTTTCGTATTCAACTTTTTTCTTTTGCTTTTTTCCTACCTTCTTTTTCCTTTTTTTTTCTTTATTATCATCATCATCTTATTTTTTTTTTCGCTTTCAACTTCCTTCTTTTCCTCCTTCCAATATTTTCCTTGTTTTTATTTTATTGTTCCTTTCATTCTTCTTCTTCGTCGTCTTCTTTTTATTCTTCTTCAAATTCTTCTTCTTCTTCTTCAAATTCTTCTTCGTCGCATTCATCTTCTTCTTTTTCATCTTTTTTTTTTCTTCGTCTTCTTCGTCTTCTTTTTCTTCTTCGGTTTCTTCTTTTTCTTCTTCTTTTGCTATTCTTTTCCCCTTCAACTTTTTTCTTCTTTCCCATTTCCTTCTTACCGTCTTCTTCTTCTTCTTCTTCTTCTTCTTTTTCCAAAATCATCATCATCCACATTATCATTATAATCATCAACAATAACAACAACAACTTATTCTCGTTCTTTTCGCCGTCACAATTCTTCATCTTGTCCCTATTCATACACTCTTCCTTTTCCCATTACCAAACTACTTCCTCCTCTACCTTCGCCCCCTCCACCTCCGCCTCCTTCTTTCTTCTCTACTCCTTCCCCTGCTTGTGGATTTCTACTCACGCCCTTCAAATTCCTTCTCCCTTCCTCCTTCCACACTTTTTCTCCCTCTTCCTCTTAATTATTTTTCTACATGCTTTCATCCCCACTCCCACTATTTCTTTCTCTCTTTTCTCTCTCTCCTCCCTTGCTATGCTTCTCTCTCTTCTTATTTTATGTTCTTTTCTCTTTATTTTGGTAAATATTTTCCCCCTTCTCCTCCACCTCTGCCCTATTGTATTGTGATTTTCCAAGCGTAGCTTAGATGTGGCACAAGGCTGGAAGTATGGGGACATCAGGAGTATCGAACTCACTACTCAATCGTAATTATTCTAGCTCGACAAGCTCGCTAACCATTACACCGCCTCGAGGTGTCCACCTCTATTGCATTTAGAAAGGTCAGATATAGCAAATATATTCAATAATTCTAGTTAGAAGCTCTTGCAATCTGATATACTCTTTAAAGCCATGACTTTCCGGTGACTTTATTACGCTTTTTTTTAAAACCCAATAAGAGGCCCAAGAGCCACTCAAGGTAGATAATTATTGAATGCGCTTGTTTAATGGACGTAAAAGTACGTGATAAGAATTGTAAATCATGAGGATTAATAACGATTGATTCAAGATTTTGAGAGGTTAAGATCATATTATACGAGGAAGCAGTCTCTACGGTGTCTTGGGAAGAAGAACTTCCTCGTTACCAACGGAATACGAAGGGAATGATGATTGCTCAAGCCTGCCTGGATCCTAGCTGTAACAATCTGAACTAAAGAATCTAATTCATAACATAAAAATGGCTTACTTCCTGGGTAAGACGATAAACTACATCCGGCAGCAAGGCTTCTGATCAGGTTTTGGGAAGCGGGGAACTACCTCGTGATTGCTGGAGTTCCTGTGGTGCTAGCACCTGTTAGGGTTCCAACTACGGGGAAGTGTTAACACCCAAACTGTGTCAAAAAACTATGAAAGTATAAATTTATGTTTTAATACCAGCAATACATTTTTGTGAAAGGTAATTACCAGCAATAAATTTTTGAAGAAAAAAAATATTACTAGCAGTAAAAATCTTGTCGGTATTAAATAACCCATTGAGGTGTTGATATGCCGAAAAACAAAACAAACCAGACCACACTATCTTTCTACTTCGCTTTTCTTTATCTCTTTTTAGTTCAAGTTTGCTTTCTTTCTATTTCATCGTTTGTTTATTTCCTTATGTTTCTTTCTTTCTTTTTTTTTATTTCTTTCCGTTATATCCTTTCCTTCTCTCTATTTAATATTTTCTTTTCCTTTCTTTTTCTTTCATTTTTTCTTTCATTCTATTTTGTTTTCTTTCTTTCTTTCTTTACTTCCAGTTCTGCTTTATTCTTTCTTATCAGACGTATTTCTTTTTTTTTCTTCCGTGCTTTTTCTTTATTTCCTTCCTTCCTTCCTTCCTTCCTTCCTTCCTCCCTTCCTTCCTTCCTTCCTTTGAATTATGTTTCTTTCTTTCCAGTTTTCTTTATTATTCTTTTCAGAATTCTATTTTCTTCTTTTCAATTTTCCTCTTTTGATTCTTTCTTTCTTTTCAATTCTGTTTCATTCTTCCTACAAGATGTCTTTTATTTTTTCGTTAATTTCATTTCTTTAATTCTTTCTTTTTCCTTCCTTATTTATTTTGAATTCTATTTCTTTCTTTTCAGTTCTCTTTTTCATTCTTTTTTCTCTCTTTGGAATATTTTTTCCTTCTCATTTTCCTTCTTTCTTTCTTTCTTTCTTTCTTTCTTTTTTTCTTTCTTTCTTTCTTTCTTTCTTTCTTTCTTTCTTTCTTTCTCGCGTTTTGAATTAGGATTTCTCCTTTCCAATTTTTCTCATGTCTTTCTTTCTTTCTTTCTTTCTTTCTTTCTTTCTTTCTCGCATTTTGAATTAGGATTTCTCCTTTCCAATTTTTCTCATGTCTTTCTTTCTTTCTTTATTTCTTTCTTTCTTTTCCTTCCTTCCTTCCTTCCTTCCTTCCTTCCTTCCTTCCTTCCTTCCTTCCTTTTCTTTCTTTCTTTCTTTCTTTCATTCTCACGTTTTGAATTAGGATTTTCTCCTTTCCAATTTTTCCTAATGTCTTTTTCTTTTTTCTGTTTCTTTCTTTCTTTCTTTCTTTCTTTCTTTCTCTCACCATTTTGAAAATATTTCTCTTTTCCAATCTTTCTCATGTCTTTCTTTCGAACTCTTTCTTTTCACTTCCTTCCTTCATCCTTCCTTCCTTTCTTTGAATTCTTTCGGTTGAAATTCTCACGTTTTGACATTTAATTTCTCACCTTTACATATTTTCTCACGTCGAACCCTTTCTTTCTAAACTTTCTTTCTTTCTTTCTCGACATTTTGAACGTACAGAAGTTTCGCCAACGTTTAAAATTTTTTCTTGAAAAATCTGTTTCGTTTAAATTTCTTTTTTCTTTCTTTCTTTTCTTTCCTTCCTTCCTTCCTTCATTTCCTTCCGAGCTTCCTTTTTTTCTTTCTTTCTTTCATTCTCTGTTCTTTTAGAATTAATTTTCTCCTTTGTAATTTTTCTTTTGTCTTTCTTGGAGCTTTTCGGGACTTTCTTTTCTTTATTTATTTTCTTTCTTTCGAGACATTTTTGCACGGAATAGGGGTGTTAGAAATCGCCATTTTGCAATCAACACCATCATTTGAGAAGACAACAGTAGTTTTGAAACAAAATTGCAATATCTGTAGTGATGTTATATCATGCATGTGTTAGAATTTTGAATATATATATATATATATATATATATATATATATATATATATATATATATATATATATATGCAGGATGTGTGTGTGTTTGTAACGAATGCACGGCCGCAATTTTCGAAGGATTTGCACCAAATTTACACGCACATGCTCCAAGTTGAGAAGGCCAAGACCGACTTTTTGCATTTTCCCAACTCCCATCGATAGTGGAAATAATCGAGTTTTTCATGCTTCTACGGCAATTTTCATGTAGTTTGCAGCCATTTTCTACTGGTCAGAGTGAGAGCCGATAGCTGGCTGTCAAGAATAGGCAGGAATATTCTATTGGCCAGCGAGAGAGCCAACAGCTGACTGACACGAATGTTAACTGGCATGCTAGCATGCAAAAAAATCGATAGCTTCATGAAGTGTGAAAAATTTAAATCTGCATGGTACTTTACTCCAATTGGCTCATTCGCTTGCTTAAACTCAACGTTGATTCTGATTCCGAAGAACTGAGTTGGGTGTGAAAAAATATTTGTTGTTAACATTCTTTTTTCATTCAGTTTTTCCAGTTACAAGTCCTTTTTTTAAAGCTGATTGCTTTGTGTTTATTTTGTTTAGTTCTTTTTTCGTAACAGATTTAATGTTTAGTATAGACCTTAAAAAAAATTCGCAGTGTGAGATAGGCAAGAAGTAAGGCATGTAGCAACATCAGCACGGCAAAGGGCACTCCTCTAAAAAAAGGCAAGGAAGGGCAAAAAGTCAAGTGATAGCGATTGCTGTATGAGTCATACAATTTTTGAATCAAGCACGGGCAACGCCGGGCCATACTGCTAGTATATATATATATATATATATATATATATATATATATATATATATATATTGAGAAATATAGTTCTAAGGTATGCTGTATTCATGGAATAAAGTGTTCAATATCAGAGACAGAGTGTATGTAAATATAAAAGTGAAATCAATACATTGAGCTCTTACTAGGGTTTCAAGTTCTTTCTACATTCTGTTGAGGGTTCTTCTTGACTCGATGAATTACTTAATTATGATTATCTTAAATCCTCCTAATACTTTCTATCGTATATATATATATATATATATATATATATATATTTATATATATATATATATATATATTTAAAAAGAATACTACGTTTATGGGATAAATTGCTCGATATCAGAGATAGAGCGTAAGTAAATATAAAAGTGAACATTGAAGTCAACACTCAGAGGCGACGGAATGTTTCATGCTAAACTCAATCATCAAGCCTGATGTAGGCTCTGAGTGTTGACTTCAGTGTTCATTTTACACACACACACACACACACACACACACACACACACACACACACACACACATATATATATATATATATATATATATATATATATATATATATATATATATAGGGAAGACGTTTATAGTTGTTCCAACGAGAGAAAAGCGTATATATTAAAAAGAAGAGAGAAACCGCAAACGTTTTTGGTTTAAAGTGGATTTTTTAAAAATATATATATTATGTTTCATTTTCCATAATTTTGCAACACGTGTTTCGAGTCTGGCGACCTTCTTCAGGCAAAGAGTGGCTATTTTCACATATTATTAAAATGAATTAATTTTCCGTATGTTTTTCGATGTTAAACCTTGTCGATGTTAAACATTCTCTTTTTTGTGTGGTAGTGACACAAATGTCTTTCTTGGACTGGCAGTAAGAAAGTTCTTTTGCTTGTAGTGTAATAAAACAATTAAGATTGGTCCGAGAAAAGTGGAGTTTATCTTTTAAATACCCCTGTGTGTTCTTAGATCTATTTCAGTTTTTTTGTATTGCGTGTGTTTTTGTTAGTATGCGTATGTATATATTCTTTCCCCATACATACATACTGTCTTATTATAAGGAATTAGTATACACATATATACATACATATGATCTATATGTATATCAATTTATCCATATATATATATATATATATATATATAGAGAGAGAGAGAGAGATTTATAATTAAGTAATTCATCGAGTCTACCTCAACAGAATGCAGGAAGCACTTGACGGCCGTTTCGTCCTATATTTGGGACTCATCAGCAGTGCGCATCCACTTTCGAGAATTGAAACCCGGGCAGTTACGTTATCAGGCAAACGAAAGACCATTTCTATCACTTATATATATATTATATATATATGCACACGCTTCCTATGTTGTGTAGGGTTCGTGTGTGTGTGCTTGTGAGTAGTCTGTTTTTGCCAATATGTGTATATATATATATATATATATTCGTGCTCTACAGATAGCCGCATGTGAATGTGTGAGTATGTATGTGAGCGGTTCGACCACTGTATTTGGCCATTATGTGTGCATGTTGGGTGTTTTTGTGTAGGGGTCATGATCTATTTAGTGCTGGTTTAAATCTGTTTATAAAGTTTGTTTTTTTTTCTTTCTTGTATTTGTAGGTAAGAATAATTGTCTGTTTGATACATTGGCATAATTTTAAATTTTCCCTTGTCACATTTATACATGTGCTGCGATACAAATTTTTCTGTTGTCCGGTAATTTGATGTTACTCAGAATCCGACAGGATGATAAGATGGTGAACAAATAGAAAACATTTATCAATCTAACATTTTTCGCTTTTTATTAAAGCTTCGTCAAGGACTAAGGGTAAACAGGCAAAAAGCCAAAATTTCTGGTATTTTCAATTTTGTGTGGTTTGATTTTATTCCGAGCGGTAAACATTTTTTTCTTTCTTCAGACTCGGACGAGAAAAATTTTCTAGCACGACACCGAGAACCAAATTTCCTTGCAGTAGATGCATCTATTGATTCAATGTGGAGCAACTACATTGAATCAATACCTGCATCTACCGCAAAAAAGTTGATTCTCGGTAACGTGACTCTCAGAAATTTTTTCTCGTCTGAGTCCATCCTTCACATCTACAAATCTACCATTCGTCCAATGCATTGAATATTGCTGCCATAAATGGTCGGGTACTCCTGATGATCATCTCGGGGTTCTCAACAAAATCTAAAAACGGATATGCAGTATGATCGGTCCTGACATAGCATCTCAACTCCAGTCACTTTCCCGCGGACATGATGTGGCTTCTCGCTGTCTTTTCTATAAATATTTTCATGACAACTGCTGTGATGAACTATTTTCCCTGGTGGCCCGATTACATGAATTTAAGCGTGCTACTAGATTGGCAATTAGGTCCCACCCTTTTACTCTTGAAATAAATAAATGTAACCGACTCTTCTACTCCAATAACTTCGTCTCTTGCACTTCCCGACAGCGGAACTCGCTTCCTCTTTCTTGCATCCCTGATAACTATAATCTTCAAAAATTTAAATGTAACGTCAATTGTCATCATCTGTTGCCATCATCCCCGTTCTTCCTCCATCCTCAATCTCGCTTATACCCAGTCTTTTCTCTTCCGTTTTCTTCCTGTAACCCCTTGCGTACTCGTGACACTCCCACCATGCTCCCGATGAAATGCTTAAGAAAAAGAAAAGTGTAAAATTTATCGACCTGGGAAGTGTTTTTATATACATATTGAGACCTACCAAAATCTATCTGCAACATACTCATAGAGTTGGTCTTAATGGAAGCTTTAATAATAAAAAAAGAAAAGACCAACTCTTAACAATATTAACGACGAACAGGGTCACAATGTGCTAGCCGTGTTCGGAAAATAAAAACATCCCTACTACACACTAATACATACACATAATGCACACACTCAATTAAGCTGAAAAATCGAATCATCCTTGATAATGGCTAAAGGTATAGCCGAAAGCGCTCGGAAATATAAAATATTTGGACAGTTTTTACACACCCTTGGTCCAGAAAAGAAAGCTCTCGTTTGGACACAAGAAAAATAAAATAAAAAGCGTAGTACCTTGTCTGTCGTTTTTTAATGAAACATGCATATATATATATATATATATATATATATATATATATATATATATATATATTATTATTATTATTAAGAGTTGGCTACAGATTTTTAATAAATAACGTATATATATATATATATATATATATATATATATATATATATATAATAATGAAAATATACCTATTCAGTAAAACACAAAAAACAAAAAAATAAACAACCTTGATAATGGGTTAGTCAGAATCGCTATGATAAAAAAGAATATTCGGACGGTTTTTGTATCATCTGAAAATAAAAGAAATTATGACACCGCAGGAGGTGTATTAAAAAAAATTGTATTAAAAAAAAACTAGATAAAAGCACCTTGTCTGTCGTATTCAATGAAATATCCATATATAAATATATATATATAACATCGCGCATTGAGTTTTGATGTTAATAAGGTAGTGCTCGATGCAATATAACAGAGCTATAAATTTCTGAAGATTGCGTTGTCCATGAAACGCCAAGTAGTGCTAGCAATGAGGATACATATATATATA